TTACTAAAAAGTCTTATTCCCAAGTACTATCCCTGAATGGAAGTCTGATGATTGGTGCCATGTAACTTTAGAGTGAGGTAAATGGACTCCTGCTGCTCATGGTTAACAGGATTTCTTTTGTGGACTAGAATGCCTTCTGGATTCCAAGGTGGATTTTAGGTATCTGTTGAGGGGAGATCATCGTGATTTGATTACCTAGCTATCAAGTATTAAGCAAATAAATTATTAATATGATTATCACAGCCATATCCATCTGGAAACTAGCCACCTTCTTACCTTGGGTTGGTTTATTTCCTATAGAAAGAAATTGTCTACTGATACATTGGGGACAAGCAGAATGGAAATTTGCAGTCAAGCAAAATCACCTCACATTTCATTTTCATATCTCACTTTCCTTCCAGCCACATTCCTTATAACAGACATTTCTATAGCAACCAGCTGAGGCAAAGTGTCATGAAGACAGCATGTGGTTGGGAAAACAGGAAATTAGTTCAAAATACTTATGTATAAATATAAATCATCAACAATGGCTAGAGAAAAGGGACCATTACTATTGAAAAGCAGAAAAGCTTATTTTAGATTTGGCCTACTTATTCTGCTAAAGCTAAGGCTATATTCAAATATAACATTTAATAGTTGGAGGTGGTTCTCAATTCTTTTTTTCTCTCATAGTATAGAAAATTTTATGAGGCTTTAGCTACTATGCCATCTATCTATACTTGAAGTTAGGTTTTTAAGGTTAAAAAATATATATGTTTATATTTTCCTCCGAAGGTAGGCTGCCTTTGAAGCAGTGTATGTGAAGAACCCAGTAGAAGGACAGGCAGGCAGGCCCTTGAAGCATTAGAAACTCTGCATTTTTCTTGCAGCATGAATACTCTTGGCTTTTGGTCCTTTCTTTAATTTCCTCTGCTGGGTGCATTGTGAGATAGGTATCGAACCCAGTTACAGAGAATGGTGCATAATTTAATGTACAAATTTAATAAGATATCAGACTTTGGAAATGCAAAAGAAATTATACAGTGCTTCAAAAAGGCCCTTCATTTATCAAATACAATTGATATGATTTTTATGAAAGTTTCTACTGCTTTCATTTTCAGAGAAGAGCAATATGAGCATGGAGTGGCGATGTTCTGAGTGCACCAGTCGGCTGTCAACATGGTGGCATGCTTGACATGACAGGGAAACTGCTTTGTCCACTGCTGTGTAGATCGACTGTGCTGATCAGCCTGAGACCCAAGGATAGGAAATAACTTTCTCAGAGTAAACCAGCCACACCCTGGCAGAATCACACTTAAATTTCACCGTCCTTGTACTAGAAGCATATCAGTCAATCATTTATGTGTCTTTTATGGTATAGGATCACTACATTAATTTGAGTAGAGCAATTAAAAATATGTATAAAGAAATCCCACAAATCAATCGCTTCATGACATAAAAATCAGAGAAAAAAATTGGACACAAAAAAATTCAGACTGAAGACATTTACAGAATTTCTATTTAAAATGATGATGCAATTTGGAAAATTAATTTTTCCAATCCAAGCAACTAATCTTTATTATGATTTCAAAAGGAAGTAGAAACAAGTAGGGATTATAATTATGTAGGCTAGTGAAAACGCTAATGATTCAAATGTAGATATGGAGCATATATCTGCTGAGCTTTAAAAAAACTTATTTAGATTTTTGACCTGCTGGTTCACAGGACTTTTGGTCTTCTGCAAGTCGGTATCCTGTAGTACAGGAACAGACCACCTTGTTATCAGCACCCTTTTTACAAAACTGCTTGCACCTGCCATTCTTAATGTTACATGTTGCATCTAAAAGAAAGCAAAATCAACAGTAATAGTATAATTTAATATGCATTTCTAAACGGTACATGAAACTACCGATTCACGTATAGGTGAAACATAAGCTAAGGACATTCATGGAGAAAAGCTTGGGAGCCCTGAGTTAAGAGTAGAAAGATAAAATAAAATTCCTAATAGGGCACAAAGTGGTGGCAGCAATACATTTGATTGAGCATAAAACTGAGGGTTTGGATATTCTACTTTCACTAAATCATGTACTACAATTAAAAAATGTTCATTAAATATAACATGTATTTAGGAAAGTAGCCAAAGTATAGTATGAGCTTTCACAAAGTAGGCGCACTGGTTTAAACAATAAACAGATCAATACATAGGACATTATCAACACCCCAGAAACTCTCCTGATGCCTCCTTTCAATAACTATACTCTTCCTCCTTTCCAAAGTTACCATTACCTCAACTTCTAAAAATGAATGAGCTTTGCCTGTTAATGGACTTTATATAAATAGAAGCTCACAGTATGCACTCTTATGTAGCATTCATTTAACGTTTTGTCTGTGAGAGTCATCATGTTGTTTTGTATAGCAGTACTTCATTTACATGCTGCATAGTTTTCCATTGTATAAATATTACTACCTTTATTCATCCATTTTCCTATTGATGAATATTGGAGTTGAGTTTCCAGTTTGGGGCTCTTTTGTATAATGCTGTTAAAAACATTCTTGTACATATCTTGTGCTAACATACACATGCATATTTACTAGATGTATATTTATGAGTACAATTATTGGATCATATGTTCAGGTTTAGTAGATAGTGACAGGCAATTTTCTAAAATAATTGTACAAATTTAAATCCCCACCATCAGGGCATGAGAGTTTCAGTTGTTGGATATATGTGATGTAGATTTCTCCTCCCACTCTGTGACTTGCCTTTTAACCCTACATAGTGTATTTTGCTGAAGAGAAGTTTATAGTTTCAACATCATCCAATTTATCAAAGGAAACTTGAAGCTGGCTGAGGGGGCTATGCATCAATACAAGAGAAGGAAATAGGGTCCTTCAAGGCAGCTAATGTCAAAGACATTACATGTTGACATTTTCTTTACTCTCTTATACAATCTCTCATTAATATAAAATATCTTTCTTTGTCTCTTGTAATTCTTTTTGTCTTGATTATGTTTTGTCTGATATTAAGATTGCTTTGCCTGTTTTGTTGTTGTTGTTATCGTTAGCATTTACCTGAAAAATCTTTTTATACTCCTTTATTTTAGCCTCCTGGTGCAGTTTTATTTTAGGTATCTTTTTTTTTTCTTTTTTTTTGTCAACAACATACAATTTGATTTTTAACTCCACTGAAAATTGTTATTAATATCAATTCACATTAATTTGTGATTCCTGCTATATTTGGTTTATTCTTGACATCTTATTTTGTATTTTCTAATTACTATGCTTTCCCTTTGGTTCTTCTATGTGGTCTCAGCAACAGGAAGTAGTATAGTTCAGGGCTTACTAGCTGAGACGAGCTGAGTTAAGAGAATAGGCTCTGCCATTGGGCCTATTTCTGTCTCTAGAGTAGCACAGGAACACAATGAACAGAAGACACCTTCTCCTTTACCTACGTGCTCAACAGCAGTACAACTTTCAATAGAAATGCTCACTTGTCAGTGCAGTTAGAACATGACTGTATTAGACACCTCCTATGTACCACCTTACTTCCTCTCAGCTTCACCTTTTCCCGGCACAGTGATGATCAGCTCTGCATGGACTTCCACTGACCTCACATAGGTGTGGCCTTGAATGGCCTTGACTCATATCTGCACTACATGCCTCTCACCTTTTATTGTGGCACTTCCCTGTTGACGCTGAGCCATGGGATGCCACATGACTTCTCCGGGTGTCCCAGTACATACCACCTGGAGATGTGTTCAACCTATAGGCTGAATTTTTGACCTTTGGGAGACAGATGCTGATGGACAAGTTTTTTCACCTCTTTCCCCACTCCCACATGGACTCTCCTGAGGCCAGTTCATATGGCTTCTTGGAAAACAGACCCAGGAGATCAAGCAATCAGTTGCAGATTAAGAGATGATTTATCCTATTGGTTCTCCTTTCCTCATTGCCTCATTCCACTGTCCCTTACTCTTGCTCCCTAGGATTGGATATCCCAATAAATAAGCTGTGTCACAGACTCTTTTTTTCCTGGGAAAATCCAGGTTAACAGAGCGACTGTATGGTTTTGGATTTTTGAGTGACAGATATAAATTTTTGAATTGTATTTTACATAGGCTAGCATAGGCTAAGGTAATAATTAGCTCGAGTTCCTTATTGACACTTCAGGAAATAAGAGAAGGCCAATCAACTGTTGCCAGGTAGATAGAGAAACCAGCCTGAGCTTTAACCTTTGCTACCAATAATAATCTATTAAGTGCATGATCTGAAAAAAAACGTCACTTGGTCTTTTTTGTTTATTTTTAAAGACCTTTCTCCTCCATCACGGTGACTACATTCCTGGCTCTTTCATGGAACTAGCTATCATTTTGTTGCTACAAAGAAGTACTAAAGTGTTCAGCCAAATCAAATACCACCTGCATAAAGTGTTCAGTCAATAAGAGATTGTGATACGTTAACAGAGGTAGGTGGTAGGTGTAGCCTGGTGTAGTTCAGGGCATGCCCAACAAGTATGAGTAAACTTGGTGTGGTTTTCCCAATTCTGATTCTGTGCCCTTGGCTAAGTAAATAGACCTCTCCATGATTTTCCTCATTTGTTCTTACTCTTTGTGGCCCAGAATGTTGCTATTGCTCTCTACCTTGGTTTGTGCATTCACTGGGAAATATTTATGTTCAATCACCAGTCTTTTACCCTCAGATAAAGGATTCAAGATTCTAGAAATTGAATAATTACACAAGGAATTAGAGTGGAGAGATCCATAGTCCAGGATCTAAGGAACAGTAACTATGGGACTCATTCATCAATCATTTACTGAGCACTTAGATGTCAGGCACTGTGTTGAGTATGGGTTCTGAGGCTGGTCTCAGTGCATAAAACATCTGTTGAAGGACATCTCAAACCATCTGGTTCCCTCTCCATGTTGGCACGAACTCTTCCTTCTCCTTCCCCTCATGCCTACACAGAAATTATCCTGTTCTGCTTTATTTTACTCTGCCTTCTTCTAACCTGATACATTCACGGATGTAAAAACCAAACCTTGGACAAAAGATGTTTTGTTTAACAAGTTTACCACAGAATATGCTGTTATTCAGCTAAACTCGAGGTATTTTCTTTTCTTCACTCCCAAGAAATACATAGCAAATAAAACAATAGTGTCTGTGATGTGTTAGCAAATGAAAAAAAAAGTGTTCATGTGCTTGTGATTTTTTTTACTTTCCAT